GTGTGCGTGTGCGCGTGTGCGTGTGCGGGTGTGCGTGTGCGGGTGTGCGTGTGCGTGTGCGTGTGCGTGTGCGGGTGTGCGTGTGCGTGTGTGCGTGTGCGTGTGCGTGTGCGTGTGCGTGTGCGTGTGCGTGTGCGTGTGCCCCCGAAAAACTCCCGAGAGGCCCCAGAAGCGCGCCCGAGTCGGACTGTGGCCCGCATCCCAGACACTGGGGAGATAGGCCGAAGGCCATTAGATCAGTTGGAAGTCGCCTTCTGCTTGCGATGCATGCTGTCGCGCCTGCTCCAGGTACTCACTCGTGCCTGCGATTGCCGTGATGAACTTATAATGTTCATGTTGCCGATGGCGCAAATGGTATACCCGCTTAATGGCGTGGAATTCGGGTTCATTCTTCCCCAGCGCTGTCCGGTTGATCTCCACCTCCCCGCGCTGTGTCTTGGCGTACTCGAAGTAGTCCTCCATGATCCCCTTGGTACGTTCGGTATCCCTGGCTTGTTGGAGGATGAGGAGGAGGAGGAGGAGGAGGAGGAGGAGAAGGAGGAGGAGGGAGGAGGAGGAGAAGGAGAAGGAGGAGGAGGAGGGAGGAGGGAGGAGGAGTAGGAGGGGGAGGAGGAGGAGGAGGAGGAGGAGGAGCAGGAGGAGCTACTTGGACGAGCGGCGTGATTCTGATGATCATAGCTTTGACGAGAGCGATGTGGATCGTGGCATCAGTAGTCTGGAGCCCAGCGGCCCGGTTCTCGATCATGGCGGCGGCTGCCTTCCGTCGTCCTGTGACCTTCGCAATATTTCAATACTCCTTGAGCTTGGAATCGCTCGGTGGTGTACACCAAACCGGACCTCCTGGCAGCGCTGATGTTGCGCATGGGCATGACGTTTGTTGATGGTCCTGGTGGGGTGGTCGCTGCAGTCCTGGTTGGACTCGCGCTGCTTCTTTCTGCTGGGATCGTCCCTGTCGTCTCAGGGCTGTCGCTCCCCCTTGTCAGTATTGCCTCTTTGCCCTTCGGCCTTCGGCGGGATGCCACTGTCCTCGCGTGGTCGTCGTGTGGCTTGGGGAAACTGGCCTTACCCGTGCCGTTGGCGCCCCTGCACTTCCCGCCAGTGCCCTCTTCCCCAGCAGGCGTCAGGGCGTTGTGCTGCCCATCGTGCCGGCCATTTGGTAGTTCCTCCACCTGTCCACACCTGCGCCGATCGCTGGTGTAGTGGGCTGCGTGGGTGGGCCCTGCTCGGCGTTCGGCTCGATGTGGATCGCCAGGGTAAGGCCACTGTTGGAAGACTGTAGTGACTGTCGCGGTGGTGGCTGGGCATTGTGTTGTGCTTGATGTAGCGCACGCGCTTGTTTTCTTTTAATGTAATGTTCAGGTTGTATGTTGTGAACGGTTGAATTATTGCATCTACACATATATACATGTATATACATACATACATATACAAATATTTATATATATATATATAAACATATATATATATATATATATATACATGTAGTGTATCACTAAGCCATCTGGCTTATAAATCGGAGGTTGGGGGTGAGACCGCAGTGGAACGGAGACCCCTAACTGGGAAAGCGTATCGTTTCGTTCGTGTCGTGCGTGCAGGCGAGGCGAAGCTGCGTGGGCGCGCGAGAGGAATGAACCTGCCGTTGCTAGGGGGAAGTCAAGACAAATGATGATCCCCCGCCCGCCCGTTTGGCGGTGGCTCGCGGTGTCCCGCGGTGTCCCGTGATGTCCCGTAGTGTCCACCGTTGCTAGGGCGAAGTCAAAACAAATGACTCTCCCCTGCCCGCCCGTCCGTCCGTCCGTCCGGCGGTGGCTCGCGGTGGCTCGCGGTGTCCCGTGGTGTCCGCCGTTGCTAGGGCGAAGTCAAGGCAAATGATTATCCCCCGCCCGCACGCCCGTCCGCCCGCATGCCCGTCCGGCGGTGGCTCGCGGTGGCTCGCGGTGTCCCGCGGTGTCCCGTGGTGTCCCGTGGTGTCCAGTTGAGTGAGATCTCGACACTAAGATCGATGTGGTGCCCCGAGGTGTCCCGTGGTGTCCCAAAAGGTGAGATCGATAGTGAGATCGACATGTGTCCCGTGGTGTCCCGTGGTGTCCCGTTGAGTGAGATCGATAGTGAGATCGATAGTGAGATCGATGTGGTGTCCCGAGGTGTCCCGTGGTGTCCTATGGTGTCCCGTTGAGTGAGATCGATAGTGAGATCGATGGTGACACCGATAGTGAGATCGAGAGGTGTCCCGCGGTGTCCCGTGGTGTCCCGTGGTGTTCCATTGAGTGAGATCGATAATGAGATCGATGTGGTGTCCCGAGGTGTCCCATGGTGTCCTATGGTGTCCCGTTGAGTGAGATCGATAGTGAGATCGATTGAGTCAGATGTTGGTTCCCCCCCCTCCCCCCCCACACATCACCCGAAGGGTGGTCGTTTAGGTGAGGTTTCTATTGTACCTATACGACCACCCTTCGGGTGATAAGGAGGTTCGGGGGGGGAGGAACCAACGTCTCACTCGATCGGTCTCGCTATCGATCTCACTATCGATCTCACTATCGGTCTCGTTCGATCGATCTCACTCGATCGATCTCACAGTCGATCTGACTCGAGCTATTTCATTCGATCGATCTCACAATCGATCTGACTATCGATCTCACAATCGATCTCACTCGATCGATCTCAGATTCGGTCTCTCGGTCTCACTATCGATCTCACTATCGATATCACAATCGATCTCACAATGAACGTCATCATCATCATCATCAGCATCATCAACATCATCGTCAGAAACGTCATCAACATCAACATAATCATCATCATCAGCATCATCATCATCATCATCATCATGTCCATCATCATCATCATCATCACCATCATCATCAGCATCATCAGCATCATCATCATCATCACCATCATCATCGGGACACCATCACCATCATCATCATCATCATCATCATCATCATCATCATCATCATCGGGGCACCACTATCCTCACCATCACCTCATCCTCATCACCATCATCATCAATGTCATCATCATCATCATCACCATCATCATCATCATCACCATCACCATCACCATCACCATCACCATCACCATCATCATCATCATCATCATCATCATCATCATCATCATCATCATCATCATCATCATCGGGGAACCATCATCGTCACCATCATCGGCATCAGCATCAGCATCATCATCATCAACATCATCATCGGGACACCATCATCACCATCGGAACACCACCATCATCATCATATCATCATCACCATTATCCTGGACAACATCATCAACATCATCATCATCATCGGGACACCATCATCAGCATCATCAGCATCATCAGCATCATCATCATCATCATCATCATCATCATCATCATCATCATCATCATCACATCACCATCATCATCCCATCATCATCATCGGACACCATCATCATCATCATCATCAACATCATCATCATCATCATCATCATCAGCATCATCGGGCCACCATCATCAAAATCATCATCATCATCACCTGATCATCATCCTCATCATCATCATCATCATCGGGACACCATCATCGTCACCATCATCATCATCATCATCATCATCATCATCAGCATCATCATCATCATCATCGACATCATCATCACCATCGGGACACCATCATCATTATCACCATCATCATCAAGAGCATCATCATCAACCTCATCATCATCACTGGGACACCATCATCATCAGCTCCATCATCATCATCTCATCGTCATCTCATCATCATCAACATCATCAGGATCATTCAAATCATCATCATCATCGTCATCATCATCGGGACACCATCATCATCAGCAACATCATCATCAAAATCATCATCATCGGGACACCATCATCATCACCACCATCACCATCATCACCATCATCAACATCGTCAACATCATCATCGGGACACCATCATCATCATCATCATCATCATCATCACCATCACCATCACCATCACCATCACCATCACCATCACCATCATCATCATCATCATCATCATCATCATCATCATCATCATCATCATCATCATCATGATCAACATCATCGACATCATCATCATCGGGACACTGACGGGACACTGGCGGGACACTGGCGGGACACCGCGGGCCACCTGCCCCCGGAAAGGAATCATTTGGTCCGGCCGCGCCTCAGCCGGAGGCGGGACACTGGCGGGACACCGCGGGCCACCGGCCCCCGGAAAGGAATCATTTGGTCCGGCCGCGCCTCAGCCGGAGGAGACTTTCTTCTCGCCCGCCCACGCAGCTTCGCCTCGCCCGCACGCACGGCACGCACGAACACGAACCGAAACCGATTTCCCGTTGGGGGGGCTCTCCGTTCCACTTCGATCTCACCCCCACCTCCGATTATGCTCGGTATGGAATGTTAAGGAAAATATTGTTGTCTTACGCGCTGTATTTCGATTTGAGGTTTTGATATAGGTCATGCGCATGATGCACACGCGGTAAACCCGATCGTCAGCATGGTCTCGACGTAGTCGCCTGTGACAGGCGGGCCTGCGTGATCGGGATGCCGTTGTTGACATTACCCCGAGCAGGGGACGAGACCGACAGTTTTTGCTGTGGATGTCATGGTAGCCATCGCGGGCCTCATGGACCTGCGAAGGCCACGCTGGCCGCCGCCTCGGCCCCCCTGCGGGGGATGTGGGGCCGGGATCGGGCGATCGCACTTCTCCTCCTCCTCCTCCTCCTCCTCCCGATCCCGTGCCTGCTCTTGCCCGTCCTCCTCCCCATCCCCTTCCAATCGGCCAATCCTGGAACAACGTAGTGCTCTGGCTGTGTGAAAGGCAAGCTCAGGTTGGTCTGCAACTCCCGCGGCACGGCGGAGCGGTACGACGAGAAACACTTCTCCCGCCTCTGCGGGGTCGCGAAGGCTCACGTTCCCAGCCCGTGGAAAGGAGGCAGAGAGGAACAGGGGGTACCAAAGTCGGGACAATAGAGGATTTGGGGGGCTGACGCTACTGGCGTGGCCAATCGCATGTCGAAAAACAAAGTGGGTGGATCCCCCTCCCGTCCTTCCTGATCCCGTTTCACTCCTCGCCCGCTGTTCCTCCTCTGTCTACCTTGTATCCCTCTTCCCTCCCTTGGGTGGTTTGCTGTGCGCGCCCCGATGTTTCAACCCCGCCTCTCAGCTTGGGGAGCGAAGGCGGTCTCCGGCCCGGGAGTCAGCTCCGAGCCGACCTTCGCGACGGGAGACCTCTGACCAGGCACGCAGGGAGTCCAGGCAGAGGAGGGAATGAGAGGGCGAAGGGATGGAGGGAGGAGCGATGGGACGGATGGGAAGGGAGGGGAGGGCGAGAGAGAGAGGGAGCGAGGCGATGGCAGACGGATGGGGGGGTGGATGAAGGAGAGGGGGAGCTATGGGAGGAGACCGGACTGGTGGGGGGGAAGGCACGGGACGGGAGTGGGAAGGGAAGAGGATACTGTTCCAGCTTAAGCGATGGGGGGCAAAAGGGGTAGAGGCTGCGTGGCGACTGCGTCGAGGCATGTGAAACAGTCAAGCTAGGAGGAGGAGGAGGAGGCGGAGGAGGAGGCGGAGGAGGCGGAGGCGGAGGGGGAGGAGGAGGAGGCGGAGGGGGAGGCGGAGGAGGAGGAGGAGGCGGAGGAGGAGGAGGAGGTAGGAGGGTGAGGAGGCAAAACGGAGAGGAGAGCACACCCGCGCACTGCAGTCCGAACCAACTGACGGAGAGGAAAAGCACGAGCGAACGAACGACTCTGCGGAAGCGTGACAGCGGGTTCTGCCGATCCGCGCTGGGCTTGGAGCAACTGTGGCCGACTCGCCTCTGGTGGGCGCGGACAAGGGACGATTCGTGTCACGCGCGTCACTCGGTGCACGCTGGCCCCGACCCAGCCCCTGCCTCCGCTGGAACGCCCAACGCTCTATTGGCAGGGCACGGTCGTATGGTCGGGGCAACATCCGGGGGTAAAACTGACGAGCTCCGTCGACGTCGAATCGTCGCCCCCGAGGACGGAGGCCGCGGGCAGGCAGAAGCAAGGACGAGGAGGCCCAGTATAAATCAAAGGAGGCGGCGGATGAGCATGATAGTGAATACTTTGACGAAGAAGACGAGGATGGGGAAGGAAAATGAGGAGGAGCAGCAGCAGGAGCAAAACTATGATCGGGAGAGGCTGGAAGATCCGGGGAAGGCGGAGGGAAATGACAGAGTAGGATTGGACATGACGGCACCGAAGACGCGTGTACGCGGTGGAAGGGCCTGGACCGCTGAACACTCGAAACAAGAACCTGGAGGATGCCTCCAAAGGAAGGCTTTTGGTAGATCTGCGGAAGGGGGCGATGTCCCACGGCAGTCCCACGACGGGAGCACAGCGGAGCAAGGAGGTCATCGGAGCCAGAGCTGCGGCCCACGCTGGAGCGAGAGCGCCCTTCTGATGACGGCACCTGACGTGTGGCCAGCACTGGAGCGGAAACACCATTATGAAGTGCCGGGAAACGTTCGGAATCAAAATGGCGCGTTGGACAACGACTCGGCACAATCCTGCGTACACAAGACAACATGCGGCGTAAGAGGGCGAAACTAAACGCAGCATCGAGAGACTGAGGGGAATGGTACTCAGATTTGCCCATACTGAGGTAGGGAGGTAGAGGAGGGAGTTATGGAGCTGCGGAGAGGGGGGAGCGGAGAAGGGGAAACGGTAGGTGTGCGCGCCATACGGTGATGGCATTGGATAAAGAAACCTTCGATAAGGAATACAAGGCCTGGAAGCCAATGGAAAGCAAATCGTGGATTGGCCATGGGCAACACCGCCTCCCTCATCAAATAAGGAACACTTGAGGGACTGAAGCCTCCTGGGCACGTTCCTTAACGAACGCCCCCACCGTATCTGACATCCTGCCCCTCCCAATCATCCCTTTCCACTGCGCTGATGTCCCTCTCTGCGCCGACGGGTGCCCTGGCGGAGCTGGAACCAGAACGTGGACGGGCCGTGGGATGCGCAAGCAGACGAGGGGAGCTGTGCACCTTCATTGGGGGAGGAGGCGCGGCGGATGAGCATGAGGACGAAGAGGAGGAACAGACGGAGGACGAGGAGGAACCCCGAAGAGGCTGGAGGAGGAGGAGCAACATTTAGGAATGCTCATTTCAACCAAAGGCCCAGTCGGACCACGCACCCCAGACGGGGGAACGAACACCACGCAGGCACCGAAGCCCCACAGTGGCCCTCGCACCCACCGCCCTAGCTGCGCGGCCCTCCTGGTGCAGGCTCGGGCTCGGTTCGAGAGTTTCGACAGCAGCCTCCGTCGCCTGCTTGCAATTTGCGGCAGCCGCGAAGGGGGCTTCCTGGACACGGAAGGTGCTTCGAGGCGGGCCTTCCCGACGAGGATTCAAGCTCCTCCGGATTCGACGGAGATTGTCATTGCCACCTCGACTCGCACCTCGACACGGACGACGAAGGAAACGTGCATCGCCCCCGTCCGCGATAGAGGTAAAGAAACCACACCTGGCATGCAAAACACAGGGGCGGTATGCAAAACATGGGATGGATGGAGGTCCAGGGTTCTCCTCCCGCCTTTCTGTAGCACACTCGCGGCCACGGGCACGGGCGATCCGCCCCGCGCCCCGACCGTCGTCCCCCCTCCGACGGCGGAGGGCCGGCACGCGAATTCAGTGGCCGCAAAACAGAACAACTGGCTCTGGCCGACCACGCACGGGCAGCTAGTGCAGACCCAACGCTCCGATCCACACTGCTGCAGCTCGTGCGACGAGGTGGCGCAAGCAGCGCAGCAGAGCGAGGGGGCCGACGTGGCCCCGGGCATCGAATTCCACGCAGCTGGTCAGCCTGAGCCGCGAGCACCAGGGCCCTGCAGGCCCGTCTGCGGACCGTTCGATCCTCAGTGTCGACCACGTCGGTGCGCGGCTCAGTACCCGCGAGCCCCGGGCGCCAGCAGGCCGCCGCCGTCGCGCTCGCGAGCGCATCTGCAGCGGCGTGGCCCAGCGCCCGCTCGAGGTCCGTCTCCGACATCAGCAGCCGCAGGTGCTCCTATCGTCAGCGTGCGCGAGGGGCCCAGACCATCTCGATCGCGCCAGAAGGCCTGCCCCGACGTGCCTGGCGCGCACGCTGCCAGAGGTCCTCTTGGCACCGCCAGGCAGCGCGGGGAACGTCCTCCGTTCCCAGCAACGCAAGAAGGGCTCGTGGTCAGTCACGCACCAGAGGCTCCTTCCGACGGACTCCAGCGCCAGCGCGAAGCCGAGGATCTCCGTGCGCGGCGCCGTCTGCCGTCTGCCAGGGACAGGCACAATGCGAAACCAACGCAGGTCGGTCCACGGCCCGTCCTCGTCCTGGCACATGGCATGGCAAGGATGCTGGTAGTGCAGCGCCTGCGCCCCGGGTCGCCGGGGCATTTCCCACCGGGGCCGTCGCCGCGAACCGCCGCGAAGCCGTCGACGCGCCTCGTTGACTCCAGGGAGTTGTCCGCGCCGAGGGGCGCCGCGGCCTGCTCCGCCCTCTGGTCACAGAAGACGGGAGTGGTCGAGCATGAGGCGGGCACCCCGCGCAACCACGCGGCAAGCGATGCCTCGTGTCCAGCGAGCGCCCGAGGCACAAGGCAGCCGTGGACTCGAACTCGCCCACATTCGCAGGACACGGCCAGATCCTGCGCACTGGGGCCTCGTCCGCGCAGCCGCGTCGCGCGCGGCCCTCCTGCTCCAGCACGCAGCCAACAGCAGCACGACGGGATCTCGTCGACTGGCCGCCAGAGACAACAGCGACGTGAGGCCCCACTCCGCGTCCCGAGCCTCGCGAACCAGCTTCTTGAGCTCGCGGCCGATGCACCGAAAATCAACGCCACCGACGAGGTCGCCCCCAAGCAGGTGCGACGCCGCAGACTGCCGCAGCTGGTGCCCGAGGTCCTCCTCGACGTCCTGCAGCACCCCGCCGAAGTCGGCGCGCGCGCGGAAGCTGTCGTCATCGGCGCCCGCCAACCTCAACTCGTCCACGCCCTCCGCAGTCGGGCGCGCCCAGACCGAGGCCGCGCGCGGGTCCCAACCCACGTCCAGCAACGTCGCCTGCAACGCGCCCATGCGGGCCCGCCTCCAGCTCCACTTACCACGTCGTAGGGCACCGAGGACTCTGGGCCGAACCCGCCCGATGCGGCCGCGCAGCGACGAGTCGGAGAACCAGAGGCTGCACGGCGACGCCACCAGCTGCACCCGCAGGGCAATGTAGGGGTCGCGCAGCCCGACCGTGGCCACCATCACGGACGTCAGGCACCGACAGCGGGCAGCACCGCCCACAGCATGACCAGCCCGTCGTCGTAGCTGCCGTGCCAAACCAGGTGGTGCGCCCCTGACCTGGTGGCCGTAAACCGACTGCGGCAGCGCGCCCGTCGCCCGTAGACCTCGACGCACCGTGGGTCTGGCAGTGGCCCGTCACAACTTCATGATGCGCCCCCAACGTCGGCCTCCAGCAGCGATGCGAGTCGACGCCATGGGGCGCGCGCGCGGCGCGCCCGAGGCGGCGTCGATGCCGAATCCACCGCCTTGTCCGCCGCCGAACGCGGAATGCCCATGGCCACGAGACTGTCCGACAAGTTGGCTGCCAGCTCGCTCTTGGATGCCGCGAGCACCGTTTGGGTCGAGCAGATGAGCTCCTGCGCGCCCATGCCATCCTTGAGCACCATGGCCATCCTGGGAAGCTCCGCCCCCGCGGCACTGGCCGACCCCTCGCAGCGGATGACGGCGTCGTCGATGAAACTCCAGAGGCCAGCACGCGGGCACGCTGGCACATCACATGCGCTTGCTGTAGGAGCGGGCGGAGGTGCAACTTGCCGAAAGACACCCCATGCGCCGACCCCGCCGCGACGGAGCGGGCCGGCCCCACCTGCGCGGAGAATCCGCGGTGGCCGTCCTTGAGGTAGCGCGGCGCCAGGAACAGCTGAACCTCCAAGGCCACCACCGCTGCGGGGCGCATCAGCCGCTCAACGATGGCCATCAGCTCGACCAAGGACACCGCGTCGTAGAAGGCCCCAACGCCCAGCCGGAGGGCAGCGGCCACCTCCAGCTCGATGCCCGTCTCGTCGAGGAGGCTGCGCACCAGCGCCGCTCGCAGCGCGCTGGAGCCGCGGACAGTGCCCCGGGAAGCGCTCAGCTCCTCAGTTCAAGCCAACGCGACCGATGAGCGCGAGCGGGGCCAGATCTTCGGCGCCAGCGGCGGGAGGCCGATGATTCGCTCGCCATCTGCCTTCTTGGGAAGCGCACCGCCGATGACTCCCAGCAGCTGCCGTGGCAAGCAGCACTTCCCCTCGCAGCAAGCAAGCAGGGGCCGCAGCTCCTCGCGGCCCTCGGGCGGCAGCCTCTCCCAGTCGTCGGAGCCGAGGCCGCGGGCGCCCCTCGCCTTCCTGGAGCCCTGGGCCCGATCGGCCAGGTCGACGCCGCTGCGCTCGAGCGGCCCCAGCGGGGACTCCCTGGCCCGACGCTCGGCCCCCTCGAGGGCCGCCACGGGGCCGGGCCAGGAGTCCGAGGGGGTGCGCCACAAGCCGCCCCAACGAGCGCCCTTCTGGCCCATCATCTGGCTCGGCAACGTCGCGGGCACGCAGCCCGCCACCAACTCCTGCACCATGGGCGCGGGATCGCGCGCCCACTTGTGGAGGGCCCCGGGCTTCTCTTTCCACATCATGCGCGCCCGCGACGCGAACTCACGGCTGCGCTGGCTGGCGCGTGGCAGCACAGAGGTGGCGAAGCGCTCCGTCAGTCACCATGGCGCCCAGCTCCTCGGTGGGGATCTCCAGGGCGCCATTGACCACGATATCCTATGCAGGCGGAACTTCAGACCCTGCAGCTCGATGGAAGTGGCCAATCGTGCCCAGCGCGATGTTGACCGCCTCGCGTGGCAATGCCTCCAGACAGCGGCCCAGCTGGCCACTGCCGACCGTGCTCTTCCGACGGATGCGTGCAATCTGCTTCAGCACTGCCGGCGCCTCCGCCCAGTGCTCAGACGCCCGGCGTCGCAGATGCGCGCGGCCAGGCGATGGCCTGACCGGGGGCCAGCGGAAGTCGCACCCAGCAGCGCGGTCATGATATCCGACTGCGCTCAACGCCAGGCACCTTGCTGGCATCCAAGAGCGCCCCCTCGGCTTTGGAGACCCAGCTGTCATTGCTCGCGCTGATGACGGACCCACCGTCGCCTGCCATGCATGCCAGGCGATGCGCACTCAGTCGCTCCACGGTCCGAGCGGGGTCCGACCTCGCGGAAAGCCAAGCCGTGGACGGCGCAAAATATTCAGGCGACTCCCCACAGGCTGCCCCCTTGGGCGGCCTCATCGCCGCCGAGGACATCAGATCGCACGCTGCCGGTTCGACCGCGCTGGAAGTTGGTGCTGACTCCTGCCGCCCGATGCCGCACTTGATCACCGGTTACGGCCAACTGTTACACCCAGACCCACGACTTGCGCCTTGGGGGGCAGCACCCCGCGAACCCCACAGGCCGCGCCAGCGGGCCGCGCGGCCCGCGTTCCCGCCTCGGCAGGGCGAAGCTGACTGGGGGCCCGCGCGAGGCCCAGCGCGCCCTCGCCCGCGGCGAAGAAGTCCTCGCTGGGCCCGCAGCCCTCCCAAGCCGCTGCAGCACGGACGCCATCATCAGCACGCGCGCCCAGCCCAGCGTCCGCGCTGAGCCCTCCGAAGCGCGCGTCGCGGTCGATGCTCTGGGCCTGGGCGCCAACCTCCAAGCTGGATGGGGGGCGCCGCCATCTCGCGTCGGTCGCTGCCGCCCGCAATTTATCCCAGGCTGCGGCCAGCTGTCCGCCCCGCGACATGGGCGTTGAGGGGCGGCGCCCTGCGGCCCCCCCAGGCCAAGCCAGCTGCCAGCGCCGGCAGCCTCCTGCCCGGCCACGGCGGGGCCCGGAGGCTCGGCGCCCGCGGCGCCTCCCAGCGCGCCCCAGCTGGAAAACTCCATGCCGGGGCCGCAATCGTCCAGCACCGCCGCCTCGTAGGCCTCGGCCTCTGCGCGAGCGGCCACCAGCGCTGCGTCCGACTCCGACTGCAACGTCGCGACGTCAGCCTGCAGGTGCGTTGCCAGCGCATCGCGGCGCCGAGGCAGAGCGACAGCGCGCCGTTCGCTGGCCTTTGACTCTGGACCGGGCTGCTGACTCTAGAGGAGAAAATATGCACATACACCGATTCTGGCCAGGCCCATCCCGAGCCCAGGATCAGTGCATAGGCCCCCCCACCTTGGCCAGGGAGGCATATGCACCGATCCTGGGTCAAGGATGGGCCTTGCCAGGATCGGTGCATGTGCATAGTTCTCTTCGCCCGAGACTGGGCCTCGGCGGCGTCGGGATCGACGGCGGGGCGACCAGCCGCCGACGCGCCCATCTACGCCCGCCTCTGGCCACCCGCAGCGGCGGCCCAGCGCGAACCTGCCAGGGCACGTCCAGAACCGTCTGCAGCTCGACCAGGTCGCCCGCGCCGCGCGAGCGCGAGCCGTGGTCGACGAGTCCGCCGCTGCCCTTGAAGCAGGCGGCCTCCGCGACAAGGGGGAGCAGCAGCTCGCGCGGCACCTTCTGCGGGAGAGCGTATGAGCCCCTCAGGCGCGGCATTCCAATCGGCCAGCGCGACCCACGGGTCTGCCGGGCTGGCGAGAAAAGCGACTAACGACTGGAACCTGCGTCGACTGGCTCCACCCATGCCGCAATCAACAGAAACATACGCCGCCGCGACCGCAATATTGCCTTGCTTGCGTTAGCGGCGCGAGCCCGTCGACCCGCGCCTCTGGGAGGCATCTCTGGGCGGCAGCTGCCGAGCGACTGAATGGGGAGGTCGCCACATCGCATCTGGCCGCGATCAGCTCACCCCCTCTCGCGCCCGCGCTCGACTCCGCCGAGCTCTCCGCAGCTGCGCCGGGCGCCCGCCAGCCCGAACGTGACAAGTTGCGCGCTGCATCCATGTGCTTCACATCGTTGAGATGAGTCCCCACAGCTGCCATCACACCGCAGTCGTCAAAATACCCCCCGAAGTACCTCTCCGACTGGGTCTCCCGGCGCTCCGCTCTGGCAAAGAAAGCCGAGGGCCCCTTGGGCCCGAGACGAGCAGGCCCCCGGGCCTTCACCTCCTGGAACAGCGGCACCGACGCCCATGCCGCCTCCCGTGGGACCTGCGCCACGCGCAAGTCAAACGCGCGAATTCGACTTGATCTTGCTGCCGCCCTTGGCAGCAGCAGCAGCAGCAGCAGCAGCAGCAGCAGGCCCAGCAGAGACAGCAGCAGCGTCGGCCTCGGCGCTGGCCTTGGCCGCGAGCTGCTCAGCATGGTCCTTGGCGGCCTTCTCCCGCGCGAACTCGATGCGCGCGAGGTGTTGGGCCTTGCGCTCAGGGGGCGTCTCGGGCACGGGCGCCTCCGCAGCGGGGCCGTTGGCCCCCTTGGAGCCCATGTCCGCGTCGGCGCCCGCGCTGTCGGCCTCCGAGGCCACGGGGGTGGGCGGCACAGGCGACTGGGCCGCGCCCAGGCTGGCAGCCGCCGCGGCCGCCGCGCCTGCAGGCACCGCCTCGGCATCTCAGCCCACCACCGCGCCTTCCGCCGACCTCCACTTCCTGGCGGCCTGCCTGAGCTTCGCCCTGCCCAGGAGGTCCTGCTGCATGCGGGGGAGCCGCGCTGCGTCCACGCTCTGGATGCGAGTGACCGCCTTTTGGCTCTGGATGAACTTGACCTCCTTCTCTAGCCGCGCCCTCTCGCGCAGCTCGGCCCGCTCCGCGAGCGTGTTGTAGGCCTTATCCTGCTCCTTCAGCCACGCGCGCCTGGCGGACTGGAACGCCTCCACGGCAGCCATGTAGTCCTCGCCGGCGTCGCCCATGTCGGCGAAGATGGACGGGTCCAGGTTGAAGACGAAGCGCTCGGGCAGTACGTGCGTGGACGAATCGCCCTTGCCCGCCACAGCCGCGACCGCCGCCTCGTGCTCCATCGTCGCCTGGAGACGCTCCTCCGCGAGGGCGTCGAGGCGCGCCTGCACCTCCTGGACTCTGTGCTTCGCCGTCGCCAGCTCCCAGCAGCAACGTTCGACCTTCTTGCCAACCTGTTCCTGCTTGAAGAAGGCCGCCTTGAGCCGCGTTGCTGCCGCCAGCGACGGGGCCTTGGCAACAGACGTCGGCGGGGGAGGGCGGCTGGCGAAGAGCTGCTGGAACGCAACCTCCACGGCCTGGCCCAGCGCCTTGTCATTGCCGACCAACCCGTGGATGCTCGAGACCACCTGCTCCTGCGACGACCACCATGGCGGCGCGGGCGACGGTTACTGCTGCTTGCGGCCAGGCAGGCCGACCCAGCTGCCGCACCTGCAGTAGCCCTTCCTTCCTGCTTCCAGAAACGGTTGCTCCAATCCCAGTACCCGCAAGCGCCGCACACCATGAAGCCTTCGCTGCCATGCGACCCGGCCACGAGCGCACGAATAGGGTGCCGAGAGCAAGCTCTCTGACTGCCGCGGACTAGGCTAGTCCGCGGCAGCCAGAGGTATACCCGTCACACAGGGATACCGCTAGTCTAGCGATATCCCTGCGTGGCGGGGACACCCCACGCCACGATGCTTTGAGCCAGAATGGCTACGGAAATGGAGGAGGAGGAGTCAGAGGAGGGGGAGGAGGCGGCGGAGGAGGCTGAGGAGGAGAGACGACGAGGACGGCGCCGAGCCGACGGCAACGGGGCCGCAGCCGGGCCCAGGACGCCAGAGGAGGGCGAGGCGACGCTCGCTGGAGAGCCGGCGAAGCGGAGGCGGTGGAGGAGGACGAGGCGCAGGACGAGCCAGGGGAGGACACTCGGCCCTGAGATGCTGGCGCGGAAGTCAGAGGTGCGAGATGGGCAGGGCCCTCTTCCAGGGCCATCAGGCGAAGCCCCTCGGCGCACCCCGGCGGGCACCTGGCCGCCTTGCCAGGGCCCCCCAGGGTGCGCGCTGGAGGCTTTGTCTCTCTTGTGAGCGGAGCGCCCCGCCAGCCGGACCCGCGGCCGCAGGAGCAGGAGAATGGAGGAGCCGGAGAAGCAGCAGCAGCAGCAGCAGCAGCAGCAGCAGCAGCAGCAGCAGCAGCAGCAGCTCAGGAGCAGGAGTGCGAGGAGCGGGGAAGATAACGAACAAGCAGTGATCGGATCCGGAAGCGTGACCCGCGCTGGGGCGAGAACGACGCTGCGCAAGTGTGGCCAGCGCCGCAGCGGGAGCACCATCATTGAGAAGTCGAGAGCGTCCCGAGTGGAACGCCAACAGAAGAAGCCAGCTGGGCAGTCCTGTGCGAAAAAGCATCTGCTGCATAGGCGGGTCAGCAAAACGCAAAAAAGCGGGAGAGTGAGGGGAACAGTGTCCATGTCGAGGAACCGTGTCGGGAGGATGGAGATACGTCGGGAGGCAGGTCTGTAGACTACGTAAGGGGGGTAGGGAGATGGGGATCGGAAGAATGCAAAGGTGGGGTAGGAGCAGAGTTGGGGTCAGAGGAAACTCGCTCCAGACGGCCCATGGAAGGAGGAGGCGTGAGCATCCGCGTGGGTTCGTTCCCTAGCCCCACCTTGGGATGACTCCCCCTCTGCGAAGCCCCGAGAGGAGGGGAGCGGAGGAGACGGGATAGGACGCGAAGGGAGGCCGGGGTGGAGGCCTCGGATGCCTCAGGGGGAGGCCTCCCAGCCTCCCACTGCCTCCCGAGTCCCTCCCCTTCCCCCCCCCTCGCCCCTCACCTCACTCTCGCCTTCCCCTCTCCCTCCCACTCTGCCGGCCGCGATTCTGGCTGGCCGAGCGCGCGGCGTACAAGAGAGACGAAGCTTCCAGCGCGCACCCTGGCGGACCCCGGCTAGACAGCCGCGTGGCCGCCGGATTGCGCCGAGGGGCCCTGCCTTCCAAACTTGGCCCAGAGGAGCCCCGGACGGAACTGCGGAGGAGCCCTCCGCAGGCCCTCCGCCATTCTTCCCCCCCTCCTCCCGCCCCGCGCCCCTCCCCTGCTCCTTCCCGCCAGCGGCCGCGCTGGCTGGCGCGAGCCCTATAGGTCGGGCGTGTCCCGCTGCAGGCTGATACTTCGGGCGGAATGTGTATATATATATATATATATATATATATATATGTGTGTGTGTATATGTGTATATATACACAAACAAACAAACAAACAAACAAACAAACAAACAAACAAACAAACAAACAAACAAACAAACAAACAAAAAATGCAAAACAGGCTCCCAAAGAGCCAAGACTCTTTCAGAACCAGAAGCCAACAAAAATCGCCCCCAGACTCTTGTTGGACCACTTTGGGATGCTCCTCCTGTGCAGGGACCGGGCCTGCCTCGACCGCAAGCCGCTCGCCGCCGCCCTCGCCGCCGCCCTCGCCGCGGCGGCACCGAGAGGACCGCCCGACCCAGACAGGGCGCCCTCCCGCCGAGGGCCCCGGCTCACCGGGCGGCCCCTCGACCGCGGACGTGACGGATGTTTTTCCCCAACTTTCGGCCTCCGGGGGCCCTCGCCAGGCCTCGGGGCCGTCAACACAAACGGCTCACCGGGCGCTGGCCATCGCTCGGACTTCCATTTCCTGTGCTTTTGCTCGGTTTCGTGCGTGGTTTTTGTCGCGAAGTGATCAAGGATGCTCCTCGATGGTCCTCGCCGAAGGATAGATGCACACGTCCGAGCGATGCCAAGGCCCCTCGACCGCGGACATGACGGATGGTTTTTCTTAACTTTCGGCCTCCGGGGGCCCTCGCCGGGCCTCGGGACCGTCAAAAAACGGCTCGGGATGAGAAACGGGTCCCAGGGGAGGGGTTCAGACCTCTGGGGGCGACGCTGTGAAAAAATCACGACGTCGGGGGTCTGGGTCAGGTTGGACGCACAGAGACATACTAGTGCCAAATGTCCGCCCTGGAGGCGCGCGTCCGACCCGAACACATAGCATGCCCATCTCGTAGTGCATCCTGTCCCGAGCGGCGTGGCCAGAAAGAGCCCGCCGCGACACATATAACAGTAAGCTTCCTCGGTGCGCGCGTCGCCCCCTGGGGGGGGCGACGTGGGGTGACGCCGATCGCAGAAATAATGTCGAGCACCCGGAAAAGTGTCGAAAGAATGTCGAAACAGTGTCGGACGAGTATCCCAGGGCCTGGCACGTGAAAGCCCTCGAGCTTCGTTTTTTTGGGGTGCTCGAAATTCTTTCTGGTGATCAAATCAAAAGTAGCTTGGAACATCATAATGCCTGGGCCTGCCCAAGTAGAGGGCTCCCGGCTGGAGTCAGAGTAATTAGATGGGGTCTGAGGATCGCGCCGCATCGTCGATGCATCATCGATGCATCGGCGATGCTTCGGCGACGTTGGCGCGGAGAAAATCGGGCTCCTCATCGAGCCGCATCGCCAATGCATCGGCGATGCGGCGCCATTATCCGGCACCATCTACTCCGACCGCTTGTGGGAGGCCTAGACCAATACACTGGCTGTCTCCCTGAGCACCCGAGTTGGCCACCGGGCCCCTGTGCGTGCCCAGTCTGCCGCGCCGTGGGGGCGAGGGACTTCCCCCGGAGGGGCCGCTTTGCCCCTTCGCCGAAATGGCAGGATCCAGCCTCCCCGCTTCCTGCTCGGCGAGCTGACCCAGCGCGCGCTCTCGGAGGGGTGCCGCTCTCCCCCTTCTCGGGCTGGGCCCCGCCACTGGACGCACAGGCCACGCCGTCAGCGCCTCTGACAGATGACAGAAAAACAGCACACACGATCAAACCAAATTAGAGGAAGGAGTTGGGAATTGCGAGGAGGCGACGGCGCTGCAGGCATGGGTGCGAGCTGGCGGGCCCCGAGGGGGGATCCGGTTCGAGCAGGGGGCCCACATCCGACAGGCCCACAAGCCCCATCCCAGACCCCCGACGTCATGATTTTTTCATGACGCGACCCCCAGAAGTCCCGACCCATTCCCCGGGACCGGTTTTTCGTTCTGAATCGTTTTTTGACGGTCCCGAGGCCCAGTGAGGGCCCCCAGAGGCCGAAAATAGCGAAAAACCTCCCGTCGTGATTTTTCCACAACGCAAGGGGGTCTGGGATGGAAGCCCACGCCGAGAAATCGAGGGTCCGCACAGGGATGGGTGCGAGCTGTCAGCTCGTGATCTGACGGCCCCGCCGGCGCCGCAGGGTCCCGAACGGCGCGCGTCGGGCAGGAGTGCCCGCGCTCGCCCCGGGCATGAGTTGAGGGGGCCCTGGGACACGCGAGTAGGTACACACACAAATTACAGGATCCCCAACATTTTCCCCATGTGTTCTGGGGTTTTGTCTTCCCCCCACTTCCCATAGTTTCCCATACTTTCCTGGGGATCGACGATTAACTGTGTCTGTGTGTGTGTGTTCCCTCCAGAAGGAGCCCCCGCCATTTCGCCTATAGCTCCCCTCGCCGCCCGCCCGGGGCGCCAGCCCCAGGGCCGCAAAAGGGTCGGGTGGGGTGGGGGGGCGCACCCACCACCGTGCCAACTCTGCGCCGCATCTTCCCTTAAGTCGGGCCTGTCCCCCTACAGGGGGTATTCGACGAAAAATAAAAAATACCCCCCAACAAAAATACCAAAAAGGTATAAAGAAATAAAAAATAATCCCCAGACTATTTTTGGACCACGTTTGGACCATGTTTTGGAGCACTTTTTATCTTTCGTCGAAGATCCCCCCCCGCAGGGGGACAGGCGCGACTTAAATCTTCCCTCGGAGCAGGGGGAGCCGAGACAGCGGCGGCTCAGCATCGCTCCCCGGGCCCCTCCCGGGGTCCCAGCGCGCCCACTCTCCGAGCGGCGCCCCGCGGCGGCGGCGAGGAAGCCCCGCGATGGCCAACCGCCGTCGGCTCCACCCTCTGAATACCTACCAGACCACCCCAACTCAACCCGAAGACCCGAATTTCGGGTTGGGGGGGGGGAAGGGTTCCACATGTGTTTTTCGATGTTTCCCGACCCCCCCATCGCTCGGACGTCCGTTCCCTGTGTTTGTTTCGGTTTCGTGCGTGGCTTTTTCGCCGAATAATCAAGGATGCTCCTCGATGGCCCTCGCCGAGAAAAAATGCACACGTCCGAGCGATGCCAGGCGACGCCGTCGGCTCCACCCTCTGCTCCCCGCCCCCGCTCCTCCCACCTTGCCGCGGGCCCTCCTGCCCCTGTCTCGCGCGCCGCGCCCTTGGCACGAACCCCCCCCTTCCCTGCGCACGGCCTCCCCGCGCGTGCTCTCTGGCCCCAACTGGCCCACCCACTCACCAGCCCCGCCTCCCCCCAGTCCTGTATGCAACAGACGACGGGCCAAGCGCAGCAAATGCCATGCAGGCAGCAAGACCAGATCTGCCACTCGACTCGGCGAATACCCCTCGTCTCAGAGACGGCGAGTCAAGCATAGGCAATGTCGGCATCAAGACCAGATTTGGCATCCGACTCGCGCGAATAGAGACAAATAAAACCAGTGGGAAACTATGGGCGGGAATCAGGTGTGACGCCAGCGAACCTAGCTTGCCCTCCTTCTTCACCCTCTGGGCCACAACGAGAAACTGTAATTACCACTTTTCCCTGGACATCTCCCATAGCGCGCTCTGATCAGGATCTCGAGGTGAAAATCCAGCCGCGGCGATGAGACCCCCCCACCCGAGGAGGCCCAAAAGCGCGCAAGCACGGGAAGAGCATCGGCATCTGTATGTTTGTCTCCTCTGGCTCCTACTATGCCCCCCGAACCCTGAGCGAAAACCGCGCTTCTGGCACGGGGCTGCTCCGACGGATCCCCCCGACCGTAAATCCTCTGTTCGCAGACTGGGGAGGAGCTCTGGCTGGACTCGGGCATCCGTTTGCCTTTTCGACCGTAGAACCTATGACTGCAGACGGTGGGGAAGCTTCGGACTGGCAGCGAGACCTCTGCGTCTGCGACGCGAACGGGTGCGACGTCCCCTTCGACGTCAGGTTCTTCGACTCGTAGGCCCCCGGGCCGGGGCCCTCCACTCCCGGGAAGAGGTTCCTCTTCGAACTGCTGGCATGGAAGTCCGGGGAGGGGCCGTCCGTGCGGACCGCGCTCTTCAGGGCCCCGTCCGCCAGCTCGGTGTCGTACTCCCCTGGGGCGGGCACGTTGTCGCTCCTGCCCGTGTAGTGGATCTCCTTCTTCAGTGTCTGGATCGAGGGCGCCGACTTCGACCTCATCAGCGGGGGCTTGAACGGGGGCGGGTAGGACCAGGTCTGGCCGCCCAGCTGCCCAGGCGACTCGTAGGTCCCGGGCCCGGGGTTGTCGGCCGACTTCGCTGGCTGGAAGTGGGTGGACCCCGGGACGAGGAGCGGCTCCTTCAGGTTGTCCTGGGAGATCCTGCCGCCAGGGGCGCCGGCGGGGTGCGCAGAAGCAGACGACCTCGAGCCTCGGAGGGTTGCCTCGAGGACGCGCACTGGGGATGTTGCGACCCGCTTCTAAGCAGGTCCTGAAACTGCGGGTGTCCAGGAAAGCCGCCCCCAAGTCCGCTCAGAAAACGTGTTTGGTGCTCTTCGCCTTCCGCCTTCGGATGCCGGCGACCGACAAAGACGTCCTCCTGTTCCTGCCCCTTTTTCCTGCTCCTCGGGTGCGGGAGGGGCCGCTGGGTTGTCCTGAGGTGTTCCGTGGCGTCCCCTATCTGTCCCGCTGCAGTGCACGGCGGGGCGCAAGCAGGAGTGCAGGACGGTGGGGGTGGTCTTCTAAGACGGCCCCCGCGTCTTTAGAAGGCGTCGGGCGTATGGCCTTTTACAGGCAGGACCCTTCTGAAAAGACCCATGCCATCCTAGAAGGCAGCCCTACTCGCCCTAGCCGCTCTTGTCCGCCGCCGATGGGGGGCAACGATAGGGGGGGGAACATCGGGCTGGAATCGGCGACACATCGTCGATTGATCGGCGATCGGCCCCCGATAGCGACTCCCCATGTTCTTGGGCGGGGTGGGCTATCGGGCCCATCGGCGATCAATTGGCGATTGGGGGTCGATGCGCCCCCCTTGGGCCGATCCCCCTCTAATACTGCCGTTGGGCCAAGATGTCGCTACCAGGCCCACCATACTTCACCAAGGAGCACAATGAATCGCCACTACACTTCGTTGAAACCCATGTTCCGGACAAGGTCGCAGACAAGCAACCGATGCCTCAAACACGTTAGTCGTGCCGCAGCCCAGCTGGCCGACGCCAGCGGCCATTGCAGCGGAAAAATTTGACGCTCTGTCGCATCACAGCGTGCATCAGTGCACCCTTCCGCATTTTGGAAGCCGATAACATCACGCAGAATGGGGACACGCACGCTGCACGATAGAAAGATGGCAGCATGGAGAAAACAGAAGGGGTAAAGCTAAACGCTGGACGCCGAAGCTTCAGCTGGTCTGAGGCATGGAAACCTGACACACTTACGTAGAACGCGCACGGCTAGGTCACATGCGGAACATGTAAAAATTACGCGATGAGTACACATGTTGAGGGCCGGCGAACCTGGCCATCCTGGTCCAAGCGTTATAAAGACATGCGGGTCCAACTCTCGCCCACGCCGAGCACGCCACGTGTATCCAGATTCGTGGTAGCGTTTAGGGGTGCCCACCGTAGTCACATGCGATGTCCCGTGGTGTTCCGCTGTGACGTCAACCAAACTGAAGATCAAGCTGCAAGCTGAGAGCCCATGCCGAGGTGGAAAGCCAGAGCTGACGCCAAAACCGACACGATGTGGCAACGTCAGCGAAAGCGAAGCTGAAACACTGTGTGGAACGGGTGCGCCACGCGGAGACCAATCCCGCCACCCAACATCCCGGACGGTCAGAGACGCCGCGATTGCACAAGCAGTCTCAGGGGAATGCGTGCATGTGTGCGTGTGTCGAGAACCCCCTGAAGGGTGACTTCCGGATGCCAGCACCTGATCACACAACCCCTCCCCGACCGGCCCCAGGGCAGCAGCGTGCCTCCCTCCGACCCCTCTGGTGGACCCCGACGCATCGACGACCTCTCGAAGGGGGCGCCGAAACCGATTGGCACCCCAGAATGAGGAGGCCCAGGCGAGCGCGCGTCGAAGGGACGCCCGGGACCCCCCCGAGAGAAAAGCCGGGAGTGGCACGACGCTCGCAGACTGGGGCCCACAAAGCCAATGGGGGGATAGGGACCACGGCACCACCAGCTGTGGACACCACAAAAGACGTACGCGCCGAGCCCCATACATGAAAACGGCCACCCAGTCGGCGAGGTCAGCTTCAGGTCACGAACGTTCGCGCAACGCACACGCTCGAAACCCACAAAACATCGTTCAAGCACATCCCAAATGGGGTCCAGCTGAAAAGGGGTGATGCAATAGATTTGGGGCAATTGTATTGCAAATGTATTGCGCCAGATAATTGTATTGCATTGTATTGCAAGTAATTTATCGCACACGAGAATCCAGCAATACACGTGCGCCGCGGAATGCACTGCACGCTCCAAGCGTATTGCCACCCCACAAATCTATGGCGCCACATCTGTTGCGCCACCCCCTCGTCGCTGGAACCCCTTTTGGGCCCTCAAGAGACCGTGAACCCTCTGTCTGAGAATTTTCTCAGGGTGGAGGGCTTAAGGTGAAATCCATATGGGCTTGTGCACCTCGAAAATCAATCCGTCGTGTGATTCACCTTTTGCAGAGTCAAGCCTCGAAAATCCATCGAAACTGTATTTCTGATTTCACTCTTTGCCCTCCACCCAAAGAAAATGCTCGGTCTGTCCGCGCCCGGTCTGCCTCCCGCTTCCCCGCCCGAGGTCCTGCTGCAGCTGCTCCAGAAGGAGCACGAGCTGATCGGGGGCGGCCAAGAGGGGGGTGTCCAAGAAGGAGGGGGTGCAAATCATGGCCGGCGGCATGTGCGCGGCCCAGGGGGGGGCTAGGGACGCAATGAAATAAGAAGAGGCGCCCTGAAATCTGGGGAACTGTCATGGCCCGCGCCATGAACCCCCCCCCTAGTCATCACTAAAACAGGGCTAGGATCGGGATAAATCGCTCCAGCGCGTTCCGGAGCGCTCTCCGAGCGTTCCGGAACGCTCTGGAGCGGCCGCGGCGCCCAATACATCCTCCAAGCCCGCCGATTCTCAGAGATTTCGAGTTATCCCGATCCGATTTTGTCCCGATCTTCGCGTCGTTTTAAGCACCCCCTCTTTGCCGCCCCCGACAACAGAGCTCGTGAGCCCTCTGTCCGAGCCCGGTCTGCCTCCCGCTTCCCCGCCCGAGGTTCGGGGATGGACAGACCCCCCTTTAGTAAAACGTGGTTTAGTGAAAACGACCTGAGGCCCAAACCTGGCGGGCGCAAGCCTGGAAAATAGCGGCCACGGCGCCCTCTCGAGAACCGACAACGGACCCTTCACGAATCGACGCGTCACTGTTGGGGGCTCTGTCCACCCCCGAGAGGTCCCCGACAAAAAAGAGCTCGTGAGCCCTCCGTCCGAGCCCCGTCTGCCTCCCGCTTCCCCGCCCGAGGTCCTGCTGCAGCTGCTCCGGAAGGAGCACGAGCTGAGGCCCAGGGGGTCCGGGCCGGGCCCCGGCCGGCTCCGCCAGGCCGGCGCGGCGAGGCCCGGGAGGTCGGGCTCGGGGTCGCCGGGGGCGTACGCGCCGGGGCCGGGCGTGTTCAGCTTGGTCTTCCACCTGCGGTGGGCCGCTTTTCCCACCACCGCCAGCAGGAGCTGGCGGGGGGAAGGAGGAGGAGGAGGAGGGCGCGGAGGAGAAGCATGCGGGGGAGGAGGAGGAGGAGGAGGAGGAGGAGGAGGAGGAGGAGGAGGAGGAGGAGGACCCCCTCACCGAGGAGGAGGAGGAGGACCCCCTCCCCCTCCAACTTGTGGTGGCGGTGGAAAACAAGCGGGTCTCGCACCTGGGCGGCCGGCGAGACTCTTTTTCTCCACATAGGCTTGCCCTACAGGAGCTCTAGCCCAAGCCCTACTAATTGGTCCGCTGCCCCCCCCCCCCCCCTGCTCCCTATGCCCCCCCTAAATCTTCTGGCTATGCCTGTGCCTACGCCTCCCCCCTGACTCCTACGCCTACGCCTACGCCTATGCACCTATCTGTGTGAAATCAACGCTGGCTGACATTGTTTCTTGTCGGCGGTGTGGGGCACGAGGCACCGAACATCAGCAGCGGCCAGGCAACGGCCGAGCGAACTGCGCGCCAACACAGGACGGAGGGGGAGGTCGGCCGCAGCCAGCGGAGCAAGAGGAGCAGCAAAGAGCCTCCGCGGGAGGGGCTGGGCGGCCTCGCGCGGCCGCCAGGCGACGACTGCTCACGCGGCAGGGAACACGCGGGCGCTGGGGGGGCGCTCGTGCGCGCACGTGCGTGTGCGGCTCCTACGCTTCCTCAATGCTCCTCCCTCCTCGCCCCATTCCTCTCCTTGCAAATCTGCCGACCCTGTCGGAGTGTGGAGCACGTTGTTCTGTCTGACTCGTCGTCGTCGTAATCCGCGTCGTCGTCGTTCTGTTTGACTTGTCGTCTTCGTCGTCGTCGTTTCGTCGTCACTGGGTCGTCCTCCTCCTCCTCGAGCGCGGCGGCCACAGCAAACCAAACCAGAACCCCAAACGCGCCAGCCAAAGCAAAACAAAAAACCGAACTTGAGCACCGTCGTGGTTGACTCGAAGAGAAGCTTCCCTTTGATCCCTTTTCCCCAGGGGGCGGGTCCTGGGGAGGTGGAAAATTGGGGACCCACGCGTTTTCTTCTTTTTCCTTCCAAGCTCCCTCACCTCCTGCTGCCGCTCCTCCTCCCCCTCTTCCTTTTCCTTTTCCTCCTCCTCCTCCTCCTACACCACCACCTGCCTCACCCATCCTGCTTCTCCACCTCCTCCTCTCCCTACCTTTTCTTCTCCTCTTCGTCCTCCTCCTCCTCCTCATGCTTCTCCTCCTCCTCGTCTTGCGTTCATCGTCGTCCTCCTCCTCCTCCTCTTCCTCCTCCTCTTCACAAGCCTCCCTCCCCCATTCCCCTACACTTCCGCTTCCTCCTCGTCTTCAGGTCAGGGTCGGCGGCACCGGCTGTGAGACCTAACCAATGATTCCTCCCTGTCGCACACCGGAGCGTGTCGGTAGGGCGGGCCAAGCATTTCGCCTGAGACTTCCTTACCAATTTGATCCTGAAGCTTAACGTTTACAACGGCTTCGCGGATGGAAGTCGTGTCGTTTTTTCAATGTGTCTGTCGCCTTAGCGCCGCGAACCGCTTAAACGTGCAAGGGCTTCACGGATGGAGGGCGGGCCATTTTCAAAATGTGGCTCTCGCCTTACACCCGCGCACACTCGTGCTGCAAATGCAGAAGTTTCACGGATACAGGGCGGCTCCTTTTCAAAACGTGGCTCTCGCCTTGGCGACAGCCCACATTCGCCTCAAACATTGCAAACAGGGCGACTCCTTTCCAAAATGCGGCTCTCGCCTCAGCGCCGCGCATATTCGTTTAAAGAGTTTCCGACAGTGTCCAGGATTATGGCTCACGTCCCAGAAGTGGGATTTTGGCACGATGTCGGGCTGTCAGGGCGCAGTAGTTATATACGTTGATTCGCGGTGTTGACCTCCCACGAATCGAGTCCTGCCGCGACTCAGGATCGTCAAGACTGGGTTGAAATTCCCACAGAAAGTGTTCTGGCACATTCAGGGGTTTTCAAGCGGTTGCTCTCAAGCGGGGCACTTCCTTCAGTGAGAATAGATCCTTGCAGAGGCCCATGAAGAGAGGACCTGAAGGGAGGGTTTACTGCAGTATCGTTGGTGAGTCTTGGGGTTGTCCTTGCCCCCCCCCCCTCCTTCTCCTCCTTCTCCTCGTCCTCCTCCTCCTCCTCCTCCTCCTCCTCCTTCTCCTCGTCCTCCTCCTCCTCCTCCTCGTCCTCCTCCTCCTCCTCGTCCTCCTCCTCCTCCTCCTCCTCCTCCTCCTCCTCCTCCTCGCCGGCGTCAGCTACGACGAGGCCTGGAGGTGGAGAGCAGCGGCCCCGCCTCGACAGGGGGGAGGGTCGATCACGGAACCCCTGTGAGACGAGGATGTGGGACGAGGATGTGGGAACAAACACACACACACACACAAACACACACACACACACATACACACGCACAAAAAAAACTGTGGGAACAAAAACACACACTGTGGGAAAACAGACACAGTGTGTGTGTGTTTTTCCCACTGTGTGTGTGTGTGTTTGTGTGTTTGTTGTGTTTTTCCCAACCATCCTGTGGTGTTGGGTCCTCGTTTTGAAGAGACGGTGCCCCGCGTCTCCTTCCTCCTTCCTCCTCCTCCGCCTCCTCTCCCCTCCTATCATCCTCATCATCATCATCAGCATCATCATCATCATCATCATCATCATCATCATCATCATCATCATCATCATCATCATCATCATCATCATCATCATCATCATCATCATCATCGTCATCATCATCATCAGCATCGTCATTGTCATCGTCGTCATCGTCATCGTCATCACCCACTTCGGCACACCCCTCACACGTTTCGTGGCCCCACAGGGAGCTCCACCGAAGGCCCGAGGGCTGCCGTCCGCATGCGTCCCGCACACCCATTTCGGCACACCCCTCACACGTTTCGTGGCCATAGGGAGCTCCACCGAAGGCCCCATGGCTGCCGTCCGCATGCGTCCCGCACACCCATGTCGGCACACCCCTGGACACGTTTCGTGGCCCCATAGGGAGTTCCACCGAAGGCCCCAGCGTTGCCGTCCGCATGCGTCCCGCACACCCATTCGGCACACCCCTCACACGTTTCGTGGCCCCATAGGGAGCTCCACCGAAGGCCCCATGGCTGCCGTCCGCATGCGTCCCGCACACCCATTTCGGCACACCCCTCACACGTTTCGTGGCCCCACAGGGAGCTCCACCGAAGGCCCCAGTGCTGCCGTCCGCATGCGTCCCGCACACCCATTTCGGCACACCCCTCACACGTTTCGTGGCCCCATAGGGAGCTCCACCGAAGGCCCCATGGCTGCCGTCCGCATGCGTCCCGCACACCCATTTCGGCACACCCCTCACACGTTTCGTGGCCCCACAGGGAGCTCCACCGAAGGCCCCAGTGCTGCCGTCCGCATGCGTCCCGCACACCCATTTCGGCACACCCCTCACACGTTTCGTGGCCCCATAGGGAGCTCCACCGAAGGCCCCATGGCTGCCGTCCGCATGCGTCCCGCACACCCATTTCGGCACACCCCTCACACGTTTCGTGGCCCCATAGGGAGCTCCACCGAAGGCCCCATGGCTGCCGTCCGCATGCGTCCCGCACACCCATTTCGGCACACCCCTCACACGTTTCGTGGCCCCATAGGGAGCTCCACCGAAGGCCCCATGGCTGCCGTCCGCATGCGTCCCGCACACCCATTTCGGCACACCCCTCACACGTTTCGTGGCCCCACAGGGAGCTCCACCGAAGGCCCCAGTGCTGCCGTCCGCATGCGTCCCGCACACCCATTTCGGCACACCCCTCACACGTTTCGTGGCCCCATAGGGAGCTCCACCGAAGGCCCCATGGCTGCCGTCCGCATGCGTCCCGCACACCCATTTCGGCACACCCCTCACACGTTTCGTGGCCCCACAGGGAGCTCCACCGAAGGCCCCAGTGCTGCCGTCCGCATGCGTCCCGCACACCCATTTCGGCACACCCCTCACACGTTTCGTGGCCCCACAGGGAGCTCCACCGAAGGCCCCAGTGCTGCCGTCCGCATGCGTCCCGCACACCCATTTCGGCACACCCCTCACACGTTTCGTGGCCCCATAGGGAGCTCCACCGAAGGCCCCATGGCTGCCGTCCGCATGCGTCCCGCACACCCATTTCGGCACACCCCTCACACGTTTCGTGGCCCCATAGGGAGCTCCACCGAAGGCCCCAGGCTGCCGTCCGCATGCGTCCCGCACACCCATTTCGGCACACCCCTCACACGTTTCGTGGCCCCACAGGGAGCTCCACCGAAGGCCCCAGTGCTGCCGTCCGCATGCGTCCCGCACACCCATTTCGGCACACCCCTCACACGTTTCGTGGCCCCATAGGGAGCTCCACCGAAGGCCCCATGGCTGCCGTCCGCATGCGTCCCGCACACCCATTTCGGCACACCCCTCACACGTTTCGTGGCCCCACAGGGAGCTCCACCGAAGGCCCCAGTGCTGCCGTCCGCATGCGTCCCGCACACCCATTTCGGCACACCCCTCACACGTTTCGTGGCCCCATAGGGAGCTCCACCGAAGGCCCCATGGCTGCCGTCCGCATGCGTCCCGCACACCCATTTCGGCACACCCCTCACACGTTTCGTGGCCCCACAGGGAGCTCCACCGAAGGCCCCAGTGCTGCCGTCCGCATGCGTCCCGCACACCAGGTGTGTGGCGTGCCGACATGGGCGTCGCGGCGCGCGGGCGCTGCCGTCGGGGTTCCCAGGGAAGCCCCCTGCAGAGGCGACGCTCAGAGTCACGAGTACCGAGAGTCACGCAGACCCAAACTGTTCACAGTCGTATACATACATTTACACTGGGCGTATCCATGCACGCATTCATGCGAATAGAATCAATCGCGCGCAGATTCATTCATAATCAGACTCGCTCGCGATCCGACTCGCACGCGCTCAAGCTTTCATATTCGGACCTATCGTCTTCGTTCGTGTTGTGTACACTGCCACGCATTTCGGCACACCC